AAAAAAAAAAAAAAAGAAGTGCCATCTAAAAGGGAACAGCCACTACTTGGCTCCAGTGATTGCTGACAGAGGTCATTATAATTTTTCTAAAGGCCAGGAATCATGATTTTTATTTAAGAACTACCGAATTTTAAATATTGGTGGCAAGTCAGTTAAAAATATTTTAAACACTGTACCCCAAAAAGAACATACCAGGCAGCATGCTAATTTGCTACCTTTGTTTCTTACATTATGTCACAAAAAAGTCCAATATAAAGCAAAACTTTACAGACAGAATTATATGATCCCATTGATTTGTACTCTAATTTAATATTTATTTCTGACTGATTTTTCAGTTGGCCATGGATTTTTATGCTTTCGATTACATCTTTTAGACTCCCTTTCAGTTAACAAGACCTATGCTATTTAAATACGTTATAGGACATTTATTTTTAAGGAACCCTTTATGAAATCTATATTAAATTTGTAATGTAAATAACTGCCCTCTAATTTGTTAATCTGAGTTTTCATATATTGGATTTTCTTTGTAAAGATGTCAAAGTAATATCTAACTGATAAGATTAACATGAAGATCAAATGAGATAACAGTGCAATTGTTAAGAACATGGCCTCCCAGCCAGATTGCCTAGATTTGAACCTCATCTCTAACAAGTGCTAGCTAGCTGACCTTAGGCAATTCATTTACCATGTCTGTGCCTCAGTGGCCTGCAAAATGAGATAATAGTAGTACCTCGCTCATAGGATTGCTGTAAGGTTTAAATAGATTAAGACACAAAAAATTATTAGAATAGTTAGTGCCTGATGCATACTTACTAACTAAAAGTTAGCTATTACTCCATACAAGCCGGTATTACTACTTTCCATTATAACTTCGCTGACCATAACAGAAAGTGGTGGGGAGACTGCGATAATTACATCTGGGCTACTAGGAGATAGGCTACCTGTTCCATGTCTTCAGAGCCAGGCCAGCCTGTGGCCGAAGTCTCTTCTTATGCAAAGCCTAGGACATATGGATATGCAGCACCAGATTCAGTGCGCTTCACCTCAACTGCCAGATGAAACTGGTCAAAAGCAGGAGAGCCTGGTCCCTTCAGAAGAGACAGACTGCTTCGTGGCTATAGCACAGATTATACAATCAGACTGCTTAAATGAATCCTGGTCTGCCACTGCCAAACTGTGTGACCTTATCCTTTCTAGACTCCATTTCTAAATACGTAAAATGGGAGTGAACAATACCTACTCGTAAGGTTATAGATAGAATTTAAGGTAATACGACATGTAAGGTGCTTAATCAGTAGCTGACCTACAGAAAGTGTTCAAGAAGGTTAACAACTGCTATCACTCTCAGATGATTCAAGCTTGGGAATTTCCAATTATGCTCACCAGTGACTCACATAGAAGCCTTATGCTATATGGAAAATCATCCAAAGTAGTATAGTGATACGGTGATATGAATCTTACCTAAGGAAAAATCTTAAACATATATCAAAGAGACACGTCAAAGAACAAAGGCACAGAAGGCAGAAGGCTGGCCATTCCTTGTGGATGGACCACATGTCCCCTTCATGACTGTCAAAGTAAGGCCAACATGGGGTTCTGTACATCACAGGAGTGAGTGCTTAATAATTACTGGCGCCCAGACAGAACATGCTAAAAAGAAGAAACCATCTCCTGTTGAACTGAATCAATAAGTAATCTTCCCGACTATTTGACAGACTAGTGCTTTTTAACTGTCTATAAAAACTGTGTTTTATATAATGCATATAAACGAAAGAAAGCACACAACAGAGGAATAGGAAACAAAACAAAAGAATCTAGAAAATTCTGGGGCGCCTGGGTGGCTCAGTCAGTTGGAGTATCTGACTTCGGCTCAGGTCATGATCTCACGGTTCATGAGTTTGACCCCACATCGGGCTCTGTGTTGACAGCTCAGAGCCTGGAGCCTGCTTTGGATTCTGTCTGTGTGTGTGTGTCTCTCTCTCTGCCCCTCCCCACTCACACCATGTCTGTGTTTCTCAAAAATGAACATTAAAAAATTTTTTTAAATAAAAAGAATCTAGAAAATTTTAAAAAGAAACTACCACTTTTAACCACACAGGCTTAAAATGTATTCCGTAAAGACATCGGGGAAAGCATTTGTAGATGTAACCTAATTGGAACTACCTGTGATTATGGTTGGATGGGCATATGAATATTTTGAGCCTTTTAATTACACCCATGTGCAGTCTGCTATAAATCTAGCATTTTCTATTTCCAGGCCATTTTTAGCTGTACAACATGTACTATTTGAAACAGTATTTTCTTACCTGGATGTGGGCTGGAGGTGATGAGGCTCCATTCATTGATATCTGAATTGTAGCTCTGGACCTTGTCATAGGTGCAACTTCCTCTGTAGCCGCAGTGGCCGCCGATGACGTAGATAACTTCATGTAAGACGCAGGCAGTTGCATTTCCCACGCCTGTGTGTTAATTAAAATCACACTGAATACTGGGCTCAGTTTATTGTTTCTGTTATTACTGATAGTAGATGCAAGGTCCTGTGCTAGGTGCTATGAGGGATAGAAGAATGAACAAGAGAGGCTGCCTGCTCTCTTTTAAAAGAGGGTGAGACACTTACACCAATAGTTAGAACACAGGGTACAGAAACACCGTGAACGTTCAGGGCAAGGAGACATTGCTTTGAGGAGGGAAGTCAGATAGCAGGTGGCCGACTCTGACCTGGACCCCGGTAGGTAGGACTGTGGCAGGTAGAGGTGAGAGGAAGCCATCCTAAGCAGAGGGCAAGGCAAGTGCAGAGGCTTAGTGGGCAATGTCTAGAGGCCCGGATTGATGCCAGCACACGGAAGGGCCCGTGGCAAACCTGGGGCTGTCGTGTGGGAATTTAAGCCGACATCGTAAGTTGAAGCCACATCACAAAGGATCCTGGCACTCAACTAAGAAATGTGGACTTCATTCAGCAGGATTTTTAAGATTTTTAAGCAGAGGAAGGGAGAGACTACAAAAGCAGAAGACAGAGTCAGAAAGATCTAGGTATTGGCCCAGGTACAAAGTACTGAGGGCCTGATTTAGGAGGGGCTTTGGGTATGGAGACAAGACACACAGATAAGCCTTGATGACTGACTGTGCCAGAAACAAACAAAACTGATTCTGAGGTCCTAAGCTCAGAAACCAGGACACCCTGATGCCCTAGGAAAATGAGGAGGAAGAAATGAGTTCGGCAGGGAAGGAAGACATCAGATTAGTTGAATACATCAGTTTAGTCTTCCAAACAACTTTTATTTACCACTGGTACATGCTGGGTGCAGTTCAATCTCCTTGTGTATTTCTACTCCAACACAAAAGTGAGTTTATAAGCAGGGCAGTTACGGTAAGAGAGGGAAAAAAAGTCAGGAGCTCCTAAACTTCAGCCAAGTATTTATTTCTTCTCTGTACATCCCTAAACCAAAAAAGGAAATGAATTTGAAATTTGACTCTACCCAATTTACATTCTGATCACCAGGGGAAGCTGCCAGTTCACTTCAGGACTACAAAACAAAACAAACTGGGAAAAGTAACATTACTCTTGCAACTTAGAAAAATGAGAAACTTAAAACTCAAAATCAGCACTGGTGAAAGCTGCACATGACTGACACAGTGTTACCCTTCCCAGGGACAATTAGTTACAATCAGGAATCAAAACTTCAATGTCAAAGTATAAATAAAACTTTGAAATTTCAAGCCCAGCTGTTTGGGATGGGGGGCTTTCGTGCATGAGGGTCTCCCATTCTATTCAAGGTGAAGGCAAAAAACAGATAATGGCTTTCTTTCACAGTGGACGCACCACTGAAGCATTTTCTTTTCAGCAAGCATGTTTCACACATGATTTAACAGGGGTGCCTGGGTGGCTCAGTCAGTTGAGCGTCTGACTATTGCTCAGGCCATGATCTCACAGTAGGTGAGCTTGAGCCCTGCATTGGGCTCTGTGCTGACAGTTCAGAGCCCGGAGCCTGCTTCGGATTCTGTGTCTCCCTCTCTCTCTGCCCCTCCCCCAGGGGCACTGGGGACTGTGTGTGTGTGTGTGTGTGTGTGTGTGTGTGTGTGTGTGTGTACATGTGTGTGTCTCTCTCTCTCAAAAATAAACATCAAAAAAATTTTTTTAATATGATTCAACAAAATTGCAGTAAAGTAATAAACTTTCATCCTCACAGAAATATGCTCTTCACTAGGAAAGCACTGGAACTGTTATCTCATTATCTCATTGGCAGAAACTTTTCCACGTTGATAATAGCTGCTAAAATATTTGAACTTTCTTTGTCTCTTTAGTAGGAAAGGAGTCATGACAACCTTTAGGAACATCCTGGGGAGAAGACCAGGAATCAGTGGTCAAGCTCAGGCAGAGTCCAAAACCACAAAACCAGAGCAGCAACAGTAGTGGGCCTTATGCCCCCTTCTCCCGCTCTATCACCTACTGCGGCAGAACCTTCGGGCATGCAGGAGAACGGGCATGATTTAATATGAAAGACACCTTTTTAAAGTTTATTTATTTATTTTGAGAGAGAGAGAAAGAGAGCGAGCAGGGGAGGGGCAGAGAGAGAGGGAGGGAGACAACCTCAAGCAGGCTTCATGCTGTCAGCGTGAGTGGGACACTTAACCGACTGAGCCACCTAGTCGCCCCTAATATGAAAGATATTTTTGTTCTATCAAAGTTGACATGTTCTTCTATAATGACCTTTATTATGACAATAATGAACAACGAATAATGACAAGAATACCTAACACTTACTGAGTGTTTACTTTGCTCCAGACACTGTTCTACACACTTCACATGCATAAATTCATTTAATCCTCTCAAAACCCTAAGCTATATAATGTTGTCACCCCCACTGTACAGACCATAAAACCGAGGCACAGGGAGATTAAACAATTTGCCTGAGCACACCAGCAAGTAAGTGGAAAGTTGGGATTTGGACTGCAGTCTGGCTTCAGAAGCACCGTGCCTGATCACAAGACCATCCGGCCTCTCAGGCTTCCTGCTTGTCATCCAACGATCACACCAGGTCAGATTCCCAGACCAGGTCAGATTCCCACACCCTCCCTAGTGTTAAAAAAGAAACAGAAAGCCCTGGGAAGGAACATTTGGGATAAAATGACACAAATTTAGTAACAACCTACCAGTTGTTTTTGTGCAACTCTCCAGCACAAATGAATAAATGTAATTAAGATTCCAGTTTAACTTTTTTGCCAGTGGGAGGGAAGGAGAGCAAGGCTGATATAGTACTGGACACAGCAGAAAATACAGTGTTTATCAGACAGACATTGAGACCCAATAGTGCACCTGGCTGTGTGGACCACATGAGGGAGGGTATGGGATCTGCCTTATCTTCTACTCTATGAAACAGGACTTGAATCACAAAAAGAAGGGGCTATCTGTCTCTAGTTTTTGAGAGAATGTAATTTGTTACACTCTACAGGGACCAAACCTTTCAAAGTTTTAATGAAAGACCCTTTAAAGGAGAGATGACCACATAATGAGAGGGAGAAAGCTGAATATTTAAAAGCAGGATTGAAAAGGATTCAATTTCAAGAGTAAGCAAGCAAAAAAAAAAATTTAAGTATAAACTAATAAAACTACCCAGCTTTCTCCCTTCACTTAGACTTTGACTTAAATATATATTCTTAAGACCTGAAGCAAGACCTAGGCTTGAAACAGGCTGTAGAGTAAGGAGAATGAGTTATACTGTTTTCTTACATAAATGATTTTTTTCTAGTCTGAGTAGCATATTCTGATCACATAACCTCAAACAAGTTGGGGACTGTTATACCACGCTTTTACTTGGAACATTCTGTCCACAATTACTTGTATAATCTATTATAGTTCCTAGGTAGCATTCCAAAAGTGATAAATTCTTTTAAAGTTATTTGCAAGATAATTTAGATCACTGGTCTTAACTTCAAACCCTTAAAAAATATTGGGGCCCCTGGGTGGCTCAGTCGATTAAGCATCCGACTCTTGGTTTCAGCTCAGGTCATGATCTCAGTGTCATGAGTTCAAGCCCCCCATTAGGCTCTGTGCGGACAGTGGAGAGTCTGCTTGGGATTCTCTCTCTCTCCTTCTCTGCCTCTCCCCCACTTGCACTGTCTCTGTCTCTCTCAAAATAAACTTTAAAAAAAAAACACTTAAAAATAGAGAATAAATGTAATCTGTACTTACCTTTAATCATGTTTGCAATAGGAATCCATTTCTCTTTTAATGGGTCATAGAACTCAGCCTCTTCTGCAGGAGCCCCTTTTCTGTAACCACCTAAAGCATAGACACAGCCACCCAAGGTGACTGCACAGTGGTAATACCTGGCATTGAGCATTGGCAAACCTTCCATCCATTCATCGCTTTCACTGTTATAGATCCACACTGTGTCAAGAGCTTCTATATTATCCGTCCTATAACCCCCAGTTACATAAATGTTGGGTCCCAAACATGTAACACCATAGCTCTCCCTAGTATAGTCTGGTATTTCTGCTCCCTGAATCCAAACATTTGTCAGAGGATCCCATATATGAACCTCTGATAAAGGATGCCAGTAATAGCCTCCAATGATGTACATTGTGGCTGTGGACCTCTGAGAAATCTCTTTATGCAGGGGATTCAAAGCATTATATATTAGAGATCGTATCTTATTTTCGGTTAGGAGGCAGCTTCTTTGAAGACCTAAAGCTGTTTTTAAATACACTGGATCTATATCTATGTTCACATAGCTTAGTAGATTATACAGGCATTCAATTCGATTTTCTACATCATGAGCAGTCCACTTAATAACAGGCTCTATGATAGCTTCTTCTTTCCAAACACTGAGATTCTTTCTGGACAATATAAAGAGAAACTTTTCAAGGCTGATTTCCAAAAATTCTTCTTGTTGCCACACTTCCTTAAACCTTGAACACAGAATTCTTCGAGATTCCTTCTCTAGTTCTGGACACACGTGAAATTCTGCAAAGGAGTGCATTCCAATACAATTATCAATATCCAAGTGCCTTACCAAAAACTGCTCACAAGCTTTCTTTACTGAAAGGAACTGTAGCAGATCGGCTGCTTCAAGCAGGCTTTGAACGTTTCTTTTAGTTATTTCAATCTGGGAAGTGTATGCATAATTCACAAGGCCTTCCAAAATATCATGGTGGATGCCAGAGATTTTTATTTTATTTTTAAATTTTTCTTTCATGTCAGCTGTGAACATTGCCTTAAAATAATTGCTGCAAGCAGCTAAAACAGCTCGGTGACAATGGAAGATTATGCCTGAAGGACACTGAAGGGTAATATCAGTAAATAATCCATCCAAGTAAAATGTTCTGAATGCATCCAGAAAATCCACTGGATGCGTCGTATCCTTGAAATGGTAAATATAATCTTCTTGTCCTTTGAGAGCCATGGCTGCAATAAACATGAAATAAATGTGTTTTCAATGTTGCATATTACTGAAAATAATCAATGCTAAATATGCCAATCCTTATGATGATACTCTAAAGCTACACTAAGTAACAAATGCAAAATGTGGATACACTATTTCGTCATTTATGTGATGGTCAATCTAAATTCGGGGTCACTTTGAGCCTGAAATGAGGCCCCTAGGATTTTCAGTAGTCCTTTAAATAAAAAATATTGATTTGCTACCCCATTCACCCAGTCTCCGAAATCCGACCCTAGCTGGCGGTCGGAGAGAGAGAACCCACGCTTGACAAACCGAGTGTCCGGGCGGGTCACCCCACTAGAGACCGGACTTTGGCCGTCTTGGCTCGGCCCCAATTCAACCTTTTTCACTAGCTCCGTCTCCCTTGGGAGTCGTCTCGAGATGCCAAAAAAGGGGCGATCGAAATATAACTAGAAATGAAGAAATCTTGGAAAAGGGAAACCTTGTACCTTTCGGCTTAAGAAAGGAGCGAAAAGAAAGCTGCCGGGCCGCTGTCCCTCCATCCCTGGGCCCCCTCCCCCGCGCCTGCCGCAGGGGTTTCCGCGCGCCCCGCGCCTGGGCCCGGGGCCCGCGTTCCCGCCCGGAGACCGCCCCGCCCCGGGCCTGGCGCGGGGACTCGACTCGAGGGCGCCGCGCGCCGCCCGCCGGGCCGGTGCCCGCGTCCCCTCCGCCCCGGGGCGCAGCACAGGTGTGGGGAGGGCACGCGGGCGGCCCCGCGCTCGGCCCGGCCCGGCGCCCGCGCGGCCATTGTCTCCGCGCCCCTGCCCCAGGCGGGCTCGGGAGGCGGCGCGGCCTCGCTCTCCCGCGCTCGGCCCCGCTCGCTCCCCTCGGGCTGGCCCCGGGCGGCGACGCCGCAGCGCACCTACCTCCGGCGGCGGCTCCCGGGCACGGTGCGGGCCGACGGGCTAGCGGCGAGCGGGGGCTGGGGCGCCTCCGGACCCTCTGACCATCTTTGGAAGAAGCGCGGCGGAGGGTGCCTGCTAGTGCAGCTCCAGCCCACAAGCGGCTCCTATTTTGGTGCCCTGGCTGCTCCCCGCCTCCAGCCGAACAGCCCCCCGCGCGGCCTGGGCGCGGGGCCACTCGCGGGAACTCCCCGGTGGCGGGGCCGCGCTGCGAGCAGGGGCGGGGCGGCCGGGCACGCGGCTGCAGCCCCTTCCCGGCCGTTCCCCCCTGCAGCAGGTGGGAAGTCAGCTCCGAGGAGACCGCCTGCGCGACTAGCTTTCTGCTCCTTCCTTAGGTCTGAGCCTCACACACAGCACACACCCCCGAGCGTTTTTCTCTAGACACTCTGAAGTCCACATCTGGAGGCTGAGAGAGGGATGCCCTTTCCCCCTCCTTCAGTAGCTCTCACAGGCCAGGCCCTAGAGGGAGAGATGGAGGGGAAAGTGTGCAGCAACCCTTAAAGGTCTGGGGCTGAGGTTGCCTTCAGAATGCCAGAATAAGTGTCGCTTTCCCACCAACATCATCCCGCCCCCAGCGCAGCACTCAACTCAGGAGGGAGCCCCTGGAGCTGATTTGCACACTACAGACTAACCTGGAAGCTTTAAGATAAATTGAGAGCAGCCAGGGTCAAGGATTCAAGTTCACATATTTAAGAAGCTGAAGAAGCAGCCTCCAGTCTTTCTTCCTGATGACAGCAAGTCCAGTCATATAAAGACGTCCATGTGCTACACAGACGGCATCTATCCATTCATTTGCAAGTTTTTATTGAGTGTCTGATAGGGCTAGGCACTGGTAATTAGAGCTCTTAGGGAGCTGACAGTCTAGCCATGTTAAGGGAGGAAAGGGACCAGGATGAAATGAACATCAGAGGCCCAGTGTGTTTCTCAAAGTATGGTCGGAGAGACAGAATATACAAATGGACAATGGCCAAACTATGTATGACAACACAACTCTGAACCACGTAAGAAGCTCAGGAAGCCAAACCATAACCTCTGCATCTGGACCACAACAGTTAGGACATCCTCAAGGGCTGCCAAGGTCCCTCTTTTTGCTGGACTTCCAACTCAGGAGCAACCAGAGAAAGCCAACTAACTGCTCCCCAAACCAATCACATAAAACACCCCTTGCCTCTAGTAGCCTGCCTCTAGCTTTCCCAGGCCAACAACCTCCAATCCGAACATACCTTCCCCCTTTTTTTCAGTTTTATAAAGCTTTCCCACTCCACTGCCTGCCTTTGAGCCTCTCCCAAAGGCAAGTAATGGGGGCTTACTCTGTTGCTATAGCAAAGTCTGAATAAGTAGCATCTGCTTGTTCTCGTTTGGGTGGTTTTAGCTTAATTCTGCAGGTCAGTCTCAACTGAATTATGTGGGATCATAGTTATGCAGCATCCCACAAACACCACCAGGTCTCTGGGGTGGAGACCTAGGAATCTGTATTCTAACAAGGGCATCAGGTGATTCTTTTGCAAAGTTAGAAGAATGGATGTTGGACCCAAAATGGAAGAAAAACAAAAGGTTCACTATTTCAACCTCAGGTAAACAGTTTGGTAGAGAGGAAAAGTATATGAGATTTTTGTTTCAGGCTGAAGTTTCATCTCTGCCACTTTTATAACATATAGCCTTAAGGAAGTACCAAAATTTCTCTGATCCTTAGTTTTCTGATATGTAAAACAGAAAATGCCAATATTTTCTCAACATAACATTATTGGAAGGATAAAATAAAATTACAAATGTGAGAGTGCATAGGATGTGGCATAAAAATGTTACATATGAAAGCTATTATAATGAAAGGGTATTTACACTTAATTCTCCATCAAAACCTCAATTTGGAAATTTGTAATTGTAAACATTTCTTCAAAAAATTATGAACTTTATAGTAAATTGTAATTATAGACAGCTTGTCCTTCACAACTGATAGTGATGTTATTCTTGGTGTTATTGTGACTGATTGAAGAGGGGGCATTCTTTCCATATTTGTCCTGAAGTTTGTGGCTCTGATGCCAAGTTTGATGCATAGAAAATATTACAGACTCCACCTAACTAAGAGTAGGGGCTTCTACATTTTTTAATGTTTATTTATTTTTGAGAGGGGGGGAGGGGCAGAGTGAGGGAGACACAGCATCTGAAGCAGGCTCCAGGCTCTGAGCTGTCAGCACAGCTGCAAGGGGCTCAAACTCACGAATTGCAAGTTCAAAACAGGAGCCAAAGTCTGACACCCAACCGACTGAGCCACCCAGGCAAGGAGTAGGGGCTTCCAGAATCATAATGTCATGTGATAAATGATTCTTGAATAATAGAATTCACTGTATTGTCATTTGTGCAGTTATTCAGATTGCTGTATAGGCCAACTAAACTCTTGCTTCCATTGCCTGATATTTACTGGTTATGAATTACTGCTTAACAGTGTATATCAGTTACATGTCAATTATATCTCATTTTTTAAAAAGGCCAAACACAGTGTATCTTAGTATATGTTAGACTGCCTTAACTTGCCAAGAACAGGTCCTGTAGGGTACTGCCAGAGCAGTTCCTCTTTACCACATGCTTTATCAAAGAGACCACTGCAATGCTAATAGATCTGATGCACTCAGAAACATATAATTAGCATTCATAAATTAAATAAATTAATGACACTGTTCGAGGAAACAAATGTGCCATCTGTGAATTCAAGTCTTAAGGAAATAAAGAGCCACCATGGAGATGAGATATAAATGACTCTTGGCAGATATTGAGCTTGGCATGGAGTTGGATGCCTTTTGACATCACACTTCACTTTCTAAAAGACTCTTGGTTTCTAAAAATAACTATTTTGTTTTTACCATATTAGTACATCTTTCCACCAAATACTGCTATGTCATTAAATGTTTGATATGCTAATTGTGATATCATTATCAATGTGTATAAATGATGGATATATACAGGAAATTTTGCATACTTCATTTGCATACTGGATTAAATAAGTTGCTAAGTAAATAGTAGGTATAATTTATTTTTTTTTAATTTTTTAACGTTTTTTATTTATTTTTGAGACAGAGAGAGACAGAGCATGAACGGGGGAGGGGCAGAGAGAGAGGGAGACACAGAATCAGAAGGAAGCTCCAGGCTCTGAGCCATCAGCCCAGAGCCTGACGCGGGGCTTGAACTCACGGACCACGAGATCGTGACCTGAGCTGAAGTCGGACGCTTATTTAGTAGGCATAATTTATAAGGCCACCACATACAGCTGTGAAAGTTGTGCACTGACCGATTCCAGCTCATTCCCCTCAAGTAGAGTGCAATGTGAACACTGTCCTTAGGAGTTGTACCTACACAATCAACACAGGTGTGTAATTGGCTGCCCAGAAGCTGATAAATCTGGCAAAGCCTTTTTGGTAGGCCTCCTGGAAAATAAGAGAGTGAACGTTCTAATGACTGGGTAACAACTACTTTCACAAGTCAGAAGTTTTCAAATTCCTTGTTTTTAGCAAATGTCAAAGAGCATTTTTGACAAATAACTTGGAAAGAATCCACAAAATGAGTGGCACTGCTATAATAAAATTCCTCTCATTTCCATCTGTTTGTCTGTGTGAACACATTTTCTCAGGGATTTTATCTGTAGAAATGAAAAACAAGGATGTCATTGATTCTAAACTCTGTCTCATTCCAACAGTAAGCAATACTTAGTCAATGATATATGGTCTAATGAAAAGAAAATAGCCCAATTCATCAGACTGAAATAATTTTTGAAATTTTTACTTTTAATTTAAACACATTTATGTTGTTTGATCAATTATAATAATTGTAATGTTAAACAGCCCATAATTTTTTTTCTACTTAAGAATCCAGGACATAAAATAGTTTAAATTTTAATTTATGTACGTTTTTGTTGCAAATTTAAGAGGTGATTAATAAAAAAAAATTTCAAGTATAAAAATATACAGACAATTCTTTATTTAAATGGACCCAACATGCATGAATTTCACTTACCATGCTTAAATACACCAATCCCCTAAACAGGGTTCAAATTTCAATCACTATGGT